TGTATGAAGTGTTCCTCCTGTTTGACTGACTATACTACCACAAAAGAAGATAAAAGAATATTAACTAAATTAAAAATTACAAGTAAGACTACTGTCCTATACTTGTAGTATGTAAACAGGTTCATTTATTACTTACTTAATGATCGAGTTTTGAACCGTAAGTTTTATGCTTGTACTCTTGTCACTGAATAAACAATCGTTCTTGATATCTCTAATACATATCTATGTCACTGGTTTCTGTTGAAACGGATGATGGTTTTGTAATAATTTCGTTACTTGAATTCGGATGGAGTATCTAATAAGAATCTGGGATTAACACAAATAAGTAGTTTCCAATTTGAAATGAAAGAAAGTTGTGTAACTTTAGATAGTGTAACAATTTAATGTAACAAGTAATTTAGTGTTTTACAAGCTGCAATTTTGACGGCATTTCACTCTAATATTTGTAGATGGCTATCGTTTTGCGAATAACAAGCCTTTCAAAATTTGAAGTAATAATTATAAGCTGTGGGGTAATTCAAATGCATTTGTCGAGAGTAGAAATCGTCTGTCAAATAATTTTCTAGTAATCAATTTTGAACTGATTGTCAAGGTAATACAGTTGAAAATTGAATATCAAAGCCAGACGACGCCTAATGTCATTCAGCCGATGGTAGATGCCAAATTTCCAATATCGCGTACGAAGACGGAGAACTTTGTCAATATAGTGGTACATAAGGGTCATAATTAGTGGATGCCGACGATTTTCGCGCTGTCATCTCAACGACTGCCCACCCTTGTCGTTCTGTTAATTTAAATCGTTTTCTCGTGAAATGACTTCTTAAATATCTGTAACTTTTTTATCTGAATCTATCCTTCTTCTTAATACTTATAACATTTCATTGAAGATTGTATTTTTAAAGTTAGAATTTTTCGAACTAAATTGTTATTTTATTAATTTATCAGCCCCTTTCATATAAATTATAATTAATTATTATGTCTGCAATGTCCAATGGAAACCAAATCCAAGCAATTTTGCGTCTAAAAGTGCCTCTACCTACATTACAAAGACTACATGCAACCATCATCAAACAACATATTTCTAACGCTGTGTAAGTATAAATTAGGTACGCAAAAGTACCAAGTTCCTCCCAAAATAATTCCTTCCAGAAAAGCAAACACAATTTACAAACTACTAAATCTTCAATAAGGTGCAATAATAAAAGTAATCTCGTCCATTGTCATCAAAATCCAATCTCAATACAAAAGTCTTACGATGGCAATAAAGGGGCGTTCACACTTGATCGGAGCGGTCCGGTCCGGGCCTCACCTCGCGGGCAGCGGGTCGGCACTAACCGGACGAGTGATAGCCGGATCACGGGCCATCCCGGCCACTGAATCTAATAGTCTGTTTGGAAGATTTGTGGAAAACAATCTGGATTTCGCAAAGAGTTATGCTTTTATTTCAATGGCCGACGTGTTGGGATGGAAAGAGTATTGGATAGTTAATTCATCCCTTCTACTCAATGAATTCCATAACGATATTGTACAAGAAAACCTTACATTTTAAACGACTGGACAGTTGTCACAGAAAGCTTTACCTAGTAGAGGTATGTAACATGATTGTACGCTACTGAAAATGTTTGAAAAACTGTTCGGTATAACTTTTTATTATAAGTTCGGTATGCTATGCGTTATATGTATGTATTTCGAGAGCTGGGATAGGTTAAGTCCTATAAAACCATTAGCAATCATTATACTTACAACACTCATACTTACAATAATACCCAAATATGATACACTTAACTTGACAAATCTCCCAACACATTATCGTTGTAGACACGACAGCGAAAAAGGAAAAGTGAAACGCGTCGTGACACTGGCGGGTCAGCCAGATAACGCGGGCTAAGTCCCAGATTGATTCCCGGATCAACCGGATAGCGGCGCAGTGTGGACGATCCCTTACTCACGATTGACTGCGCAGTATGACTGCCTCCTTATAGGATTTGAGGGTCCGACTTTGAAATGCGATTTATTTTGGTACACGTGTGTGATTTTGAATGGAATAGAAAATGGGTATTGCTATCGGATGCAGCGGTATGGATTCGTCGTTTGTTACTTCGAGTACGTTATTTTTACTGAAGTTTTACTAATTCCAATAGTTTATAGTGTAATAATAATGCTTGCCTTTACCGATTGCATTAGCTTCATTAATGTTTTATAATGCTAAATGGAATCTCGTAACTTTTAAAATTTTCTTGTTTCAGGATTTTCCATCACGTGTAGGTTGTGATAAGACTTCAGATTCAACCGGTATGTGTTCAGTTTCAGTTATTTAGTTTCTGTAATAAGTACTTTACTTTACTATAATATGTATTTAGAAAATAAAAAAGCTCTATCAAAATTAACTACACGATTAATTTATAAAACTAGTACATAATTATTTCAACTTCGACTAACAATGCTTTTCATTAGCTAGGCGCTTTTGTTTCCTGTTATTTAATTAAAAACAAAGCTTATGCATAGAATTAAAACTGAGACCAAGGAATACTAGTGATTAGGTTGCCTAGTTTAACTCACTCTATCACGCAGACTTCCTAGTGTTGTGGAAACCAGAAATGCTCACAATGGCCTCTATAACCGTTCTCAAGCTTAACGGCTAGTTAAAAATAAACTGGCGTCACTGTTAATTGCCCAACATTTAGTGCGACTGCTATCTGAGCTCTCATCGGACTAATTAGAAGTTTTCCAACTTTTACAGTTTTTTAATCAAAACAAAAGTGACGGACAGACAGGTCAATGCGTAGTCACATAGACGTTGTTNGTTACTTCGAGTACGTTATTTTTACTGAAGTACTAATTCCAATAGTTTACCTATAGTGTTTTCAGATTGCATTAGCTTTATTCATGTTTTGTTTTCTAAACTGCAACAAGAAATCTTTAAATATACCACACAACAATATTTGTTATAAGTTACACAAAAATGAATGCTACACTGATGGACTTCATTTTCGTAACTTTTAAATTTTCCTTGTTTCAGGGTTTTCCATTCACGTGTAAGTTGTGATAAGACTTCAGCTTCAACCAGTAAGTGTTCAGATTCAGTTATTCAGTTCCTGTAATAAATACTTTACTATATTTAGCAAATAAAAAAGCTCTATCAAAATCCTATTCAAATAAAACTACATAATTTGACTAACAATGCTTTTCATAATCTAGGTGTACTTTTGTTTCCTGTTATTTAATTAAAAACAAAGCTTATGCATAGAATTAAAACTGAGACCAAGGAAGACTAGTGATTAGGTTGCCTAGTTTAACTCTATCACGCAGACTTCCTCGTGTTGTGGAAACCAGAAATGCTCACAATGGCCTCTATAACCGTTCTCAAGCTTAACGGCTAGTTAAAAATAAACTGGCGTCACTGTTAATTGCCCAACATTTAGTGCGACTGCTATCTGAGCTCTCGTCGGACTAATTAGAAGTTTTCCAACTTTTACAGTTTTTTAATCAAAACAAAAGTGACGGACAGACAGGTCAATGCGTCGTCACATAGACGTTGCTCGTTATAATGCCCCTTTGTAAAAGGTTCCCATCATAGTTTTAGTTAATATTTTCTATGGTTGTTTTGTTAGCATTAAGAAGGTGTTTGGTGTTGGTTTCTAATACTTACATTATAATTAGCTTTATGAAGACATTCGTCGCGTCGGCAGTTCACGCTACGCGGTTTAAGGCTAATTGGGCAGTTAGAGCGATGTTTATAAGTGTCTAATTTTCTTCAAATAGTAGGTAAGTAACTAACTTGGAAAAACCATTTTGAAAAACACAAAATCCGTTCTCCTTTTTTTACGATTTCTTTTGTAGAAGGCTGCTACTTTCTTTTGTTGCAACCTGATATACCTACTTACTTTCAGCTATATATTATCTTGACATTATGAGCTATAAGAAACTATTCGGACAGCCTCAGACAGAACGCACCAAGGATACAGAAGCTCCCAGATCCTAGCATAGAACCTGTATAGAAATGGCGCAATGCATTTTAGGCATTACCCGCTTTATTTGGCCGACAGCTAGATTTAGTGCACAGATCAACTCGTTACGCCTCGGCCATTACTCACGCCGCACAAGAATCCACTCGGTGTCCAACATTCCGAAATACGGCGCTCACGGCTGTAAGTCAGCGAGGTGCGAAGTGCCGTCACCAGGGGGCGCCGCATTCCGCCACACTCCCTCAAGTGCACTCGCGAATATTCCAAACATAAATCCCGTAGACTGATGCCGCTTTTTGTTCGCGACATTTTTTCCCGCGCTAGCCTCCCATATATCACCCTGCGCTGTGACTTATGCGTCTGCCCCGAGCCCGCTCGCACGAATACCCAACCGTTTTTACAAATACCTACAACCACCACGATCAATCTTTGTTCAATAAAAATTGCAAGATCGGGCCCACTCCGCCGTGAGCGAGCCCAAAAAGAGCAATCGCAAACATTAATTGTTCGCTGTAACAATGTGATTGAACCACCCTTGAAATCCCGCCGAGCTTAACCGCAAATAAAACCAGCTTATTAACTAAGGTCTATCGTCGGCCGGGGAGCGTTTTATAGGCACTTTTATCCGATGTCCATTCTTCGGAAATGCGATTAAAATTGAATAGGTCCATATGTCGGCGGCAGCCCCGTTGCGTCACAATCTCACGGCCGGCTGCATTTTCAATTTGCCGCGAGATACCTCTAAGCGTGACTTTTGGACGACTTTTTCTGCGGAATGGCGGAATTGATCCGGTGACTTATGGGATCGCAAGACGACGTAATTCAATGGTCAATTGGCCTGCCCCAACTAAGGGGCGCTTATCTCGCGCACACATTCAGGGGACGACAAATAACGACCACTCTTAATATCAATATTGATAATTTATTCACAATTTCATTTAAAATACACAACTTCACAATGTTTTGTTTTAAAAACTAAAAATTTTAGGTACGGGATATCGTTATAGGCTGCTTTGTAGTGATCTCTAATTTACATTTTATTCTGATAGTCTTAAATGATTCTTTCATTTAATTTCTACATCGCTCATTTACATGTTTATGTACATTTTGAATGCGGGACCTTGTTGGTGAATATTGTAACTGCTTAATTTAGAAAACGTATGCTTATTATAATTTACTATATTCACAAACAGCATCCCTCTAATAATTTATGGCCACTCGATATCTTAATTTACAACGGTAAATAATACAATTTTGAATGACATGTGTCTAAAGACGTGTATGTAATAATCTAAACCAATTAAGTGACCTGTAACAGCGATAAATAAGAAAAATAGTTTTTCGATATCCACAACATCAGTTCTGCATAATGTAACTATTAAAACAGCTATTTATTTACAATTCGCAATGATTTTATAACTATTACATAAATTACTATTGCATTTCATTCAATATCATCTACACAAATAAAATGTACAAAAGAAAAACATATATCTGGGAATAATTTCTCTGAACACATCACAATTCCTATAGCGAACCGAACCGTTCAAAAATTAAATAAAAAAGAAACAATTTATACAGGAACGGATTATAACTTATTAAGATATGTACAAAATACACAAATTGTTTTTGAACTATACTTATGTATCGTATTACCGACATTATAATAACTATATTATAATACTGTACAATTTCGCTAGTTACTTCTTCATGTAAAACACTCTTACATTAATACTTATAGGGAAGTGATCACGGAATATCAAAGTCTTCATTGGGACGCGTACTGGGTTTGTTCGGGGATATGTCAAAACGTTCAATTCACTGGTGAAGATAAAAACTGTAGAAACATCAATTCTGTTGGACAGTCTTACGGTGTGATGTGTCAGTAGTTCCGGCGGCAACTAGTAAACTAGTGCGGGTAGTGAGTCACTAGTTGCCACTAGTTCGCGTCCGATGGAGCCATGGGCTCAAGCGTGGTTACACGTGGAACGTGTGGTTATCCAGTAGGGGGCGTTGGTTTGGTTGACTTATCACGTATACTCACTCCTCCAGCCAGTCTGTAAAGAAAGTTGTAAATTAGTTGCAGTCAAATAATATCAAGGCCATGGCCATCTGTATCACGAATAGCAACCGCAATCAAAATAAAATCTAGGTATCGACATTCAGGCATCAGACGTTTTTTATGTCAAAATTATCTTATTTTGATAGGAGTTAACAGATTGCAATCTCAATGATGAAAAAATGCATTTTAAGCGGAAACATCAAAATGCAGCATGACCAAATTCTGAATTCGCTGATTATATCTTTTAGTGATAAAAAATATGTGACCAACAATACATTTCTATGATTAAAATTGAATTTTAAATAATGCGTGACACTAAAGTATGATGAATCAATCGGTAGAGGGATTGGTCACTACGGTAGCCGAATTGTGGGTCTTCTGATGATGTGTGTCCCACCTGCCCTCACAAGAAACTCGTAGTTATGCAAAATAAAAAAGTGTCTGTTCTTTTCAGCCAAAAACGTCCACTGTTAAACAAAGGCTTCCCCCAAGGACTTCAAAAACGACTCGCTCTGCACTGCCTGCATCCAAGTCCTCTCCACGACCAACACAGAACTTTGCTATACCAAATGGCTTCCTACACTATAGATCATTTCATTCACGAAGACGCGCCCCACGAATTTTTGGTCGAGGGAAGCTCGGGGTGCGGGGAGTTTGATCCGAGCAATCCGAGCGTCATTATTGTAGTGTGAGTGTGCATTAGCGTGTACCGATAACAGTCAAACATTAGCGGAAGAATAATGGGGCGCGTCTTCGTGGATGAAACGATCTATACGTGTATCGTTAGTGTCGTGACTCACCATAGAGTTAAGTTGCGCGAGGTGATGGTGGTGGTAGGGGTTGTGCGAGGTCGGCGGAGGGCGAAGCCCTGGTGCGGTGCTCCGTACCAGTGGGACATGTGCGCCGCCGCCGGGTGCACCAGACCCACTTGGTGTTGTCCTGGAGAAGAAATACAAGGTTAGTAAGAGAAATTATTACCGAAATTTAACTAGTGATAAGATGGTAACAGGAAATTAATCGATTCATAAGGTTATGTTCCCTGGTTCTTAGAGAACTTTTATCAGAAAGACCTCAATCAAGTTTATTGAAAGGATTTGCTGGAGGAAGTACAAAGTTTTATTTATTTTGTGTACTGCTAGGCAAAGGTCTCCAATTATCCTGCTCTAAATCCTATTTTTGCCACTTATTCGAACTTGGTCTTCCAAGTCATATGACACTTGTTTATTTTCTAGTATTTTCTATACTTTGAAAAGTTTAAAGTACCATTTCTCGCTTGTTTGTTTAAACTATAATATAGGATAGCATATTCGTCGGGAGAGGAGGCATGTACCCAGCAGTAAATTTAAGCTGATGATGTTAAGTAAAAGGAATAAAAAGACTTGCTAAGTCAAAGTGCTTACCAAAGTCCATGGCCGAAGGGAAGGCCGACCCGCCGAAGCCCTTGGTGGCGTCTCCGAGCGGCTTGATCATGTCCCCCATGACCCCTCCCAGCGCGAGTGCGCACGCGCCTCCTCCCCCCATGCCCATGCCACCCTTCTTCTTCTTACTTTTACTGCTCAGTTTCCGATTTCTTGTCTGGATGCCTTCCTTCTTCATCGTTAGTGGTCGGTTCACCTGTTGACAAGGGATTTTGGGTTTTAGATACATTGTACGTAGAGAGAAGAAAAACAGAAGTGTGTTAATTTTGATATTGCAACAAAAAATGTTGGGTCAGGATAGAAAAGCACGCCTTTTTGTTCCAAGTATCATACATTATTATGAAGAAAACTGAGTTAGCGTCTGTTTCGGTCTTTCCTTCACCAATTAACAAGTCTAATTGAGACGTCATAATATTCCGCGCTGTTAATAAATCGTAATTGTTGGATCGTCTTTTACCAACAGTCGTAAGGCATTTTATTGCTCTGACATGACATTAGTCGGTATGAAAAAAGAGACCGCGGCACCAATTTAGAATGCTAAATAGCTGTATAAAGGCTGGCCGAACCATAAAATGGTACAATAGTCGTGTGCGAATATTCGCTCTTTGGCGTTTGGGGACGCGGAACGCATTCTGATTACTGCAGCGATGCACTAAGAGTGCGTTTGGTGGGAATTGAAGGTGACGTATCGAGGTGAAGGGCCTCACTCGCGGTTTTATTGTTTTTCTAAGCAGTCGTTAATGTGTTATAGTAAACCTTTGTAAACGGATATTGGATGAGTAACTTGCTTAAACTACAAATGCTTCCTGTGGTTAAATATAAATTGGTATTAGTAAGTAGTTTGGGAGAGAACAGAATTAAACTAGTAAGGCAGATTGAGTTCGATTTAACATTAAAAAAACTTAACAGCAAAAGTTACCAGACTTTTGAGGAATTTTTAAAGCTGGTTTTCTTACACATATTTCAAAGACTTGAAACAAGTTAAGGCAATATCATCAAAGGTCAGCTTGTATTGCTAAGGCTCCTTTAGTTCAATTTGACAATCTCATCTGCGTGTAAACAAATGAACGTTTTAATTTTCTCAAATTCCAAAATTCACGGGTCAGATCCCAGTTGGTGTTCTGAGAACGGTGCGTCACGACGGACGGACGACGGACAATGAGTTATTCATCGGCTTCCACGGAACTTGGCGGCATGTGCGCCTGCGCCGATGCGCATGACCCGCTTCAGCTTCTTTTTGGAGATTCGCAATTGCGAGATTGGAGAACAAAGGCGTCGGCTTTCTAATTTCGCCACGACTGAGGCGACAAATGATGCAATTTTAATTGATCAAAGTATCTTTACACAGTTTGACTTCGAAAGTCCAGCTCTTTTATGACCTAAAATGTATCTTTATTGATGTTACTATCGGCTACAGTTCCAGCTCCGTACATGTCGTCTCTTTCTAAGTATCACAAAGAATCAACATTTGATGAAAACGAGAGAAAAAACTGAAATGGGTAGCAGGAACTGTGGCCGATAGTACATACTCTTTAGTCCTACAGGAGAAAACAATCAATCTACTTATTGTGACCCCAACAAAGACCTACACTACAAAACCTTAATGCGCCATCGCGTGCGCCTAGTTAACAAGGTTCCACTATAAATAGTCTGTCACCAGCAATTGTCCACATCAAAGTACAAGATTTCCTCCCGAGTGCTTAGCAGTGCGTGCCAATTGTCCCCTAATGCGTTACCACGAATCGCCTACACTCGCGCGCATACCGCGCCGTCGCCCTGCCAATTTAACCAATATAAAATGCATTAACTGCAGCACACATGTCCGCAGATTTAGCGAGGAATTGGGTCAGAAGCGTTCCCTCGGTTCGGGTAAAGATTATGCAACATTGCAGTTCTCAGATATGACATATTACAATATCGAGATAAAGTTTAAAGAGAAGACTACTTATCTAGATTAAAGATAAACATAACAGGACATATTTCTCAAGTTTAGTCAATTTAGGTAAATTAAAAAAACTGTAGCTCAACGTTTAATAAAATAATCACTTTATTAGGCAAAGGTGTATGTATAATACACCTTATTTGGTAATGCAATGAAAACAATTACGTGGCTGATGCTCAAACAGACGATTAAGTCATTCGCCTCCGTGTGCATTTGTGCAATTAAAATTCAAATAATGCCGTGTCATTTTACTTTATTTCGCTCCACATACATTTAATTATCTCACGATGCAAACGACAATGCCTTTAAAGTCCATTGCCTTAACAGGAGTGGGTAAGTGTTACGGAAGGTGTCGTATGTATAGCTGCCAAGACGCTGCCCATGTCGTGCGGAATTGCTTAATAACTGTCCATTATAGCTGGCTTAATTACTGTCTAGCTGTTCTCACTCCGTTGCCTCAGACTGCAGATAATAACGCATTTGGTAAATTGGTACAGCTTGACCGAAATAACATTGCACATAACCTAACCCAGCAAAAATAAAATCAATCTTCAAGCGCATTTTGATACCAAACATAGCCTTTAAATACTGTCTCAGAGACTCAAGGCATGCCATTAGTAACATCGAACGTATTTCCAACTCGCCAAACCTTATCAATGAAACTTTAAGCCAAAACAGGGAACAGTCATAATTACGAACAGAATTACAACAGTTGTATGGCAATGAATTCACTTCCAACTTCCATATATGCCCTTCGCATGCAACATTCCAGTTCTATGTTAAGCTGCGCCAGATTCTTGCTCGAATTTGTGTTCTATGATCATATCAATAAGGTCGAAGATGGTGGTTTGTGGTGATATAGGACGTGAACAGCGAGGAGGCACGTAACATAAAGCAGTGTTATTGCCGCCGCTTNTAAATCTCTTCGGCGAAAACAGGATAATTTAGATCGAACTTCACTTGGTAAGTTCGTTTGATCATTCAATAGAAACGGTTTCACATGGTGACTCACACTTTCATGTTTACACTGAAGTTGAAACTACTAATTTGACAAAATTGCCTTTTTAAAAACTCTCAAACGGTTTTCCCAGTTAGGGGTTAATTTTCTTTTTATTTACTTTTGCTCCTTCCAAATTTGATCCTTCAAAAATAACCAAGGATCTGGATTATAAGCCGTTTGGTTCTGAATAAGGTGTCATGCCGTGCCACATTGTTTAGGGTTGCGTGGCGTGCATGACTTGCATTACTGCACCCTCAAGGATGGTATGAACTGCACAGAACACTAACTCGGAAACCACGACTTGTTTATAACTCGGCTTTCCTTAATAAATGCCTGCACATGCAGGTGCTACCTCGGGAAATGTGCCTCGAAATCTAAATTTCCTTCGCAGAATTATGACAGACTTTTCTAGGTTTCTTTCGGTCTTTATATTGCAAAAAATGATGTCATTTTCGTAATTTTAAGTAAATTACGATGCTGTTTTGCAACGCCGTGATGTTAGCACAAATCACAGTCATAGTTTCATTATAACTGCAGCTGCTAGTACGTGCGAATGCATTCATGGCTCGCAGGAACACTAGCTAATTAAGGCGTAAATTTTACGTGTTCATTAACAGCACGTACGTTTACATTGCTCGGATAGTGCGTTTAAAACTGTGTGAATCGGAGACGGCCCAGAGATGGGAGCGGAACGCAGTGAAAAAACGACGCAATGCATTTATGCGTGCGAATAATTGTGTTACGTTTCTAGAACGGAGAGTGCGCAAGCTATTACGCTATCAGCTGCATCTGGCCACAATACTAACACACCCATAAAACCGCTCAAATGGGAAAATAACAGGCTCGCTCTACAATGCCATAGAAAATTCCCCCGACGATTTTTCTGCATAGAAAGCTCAATGCGAATATCATTAATTATTTCAGAAACAATACCAAGACTGATTTGCCTGTTAATTAGCAAAGTCAGTTTTAATTTATAACCCTCGTAAAAGATACAGGATTACTGCTTAATTACACACTACGTGGCTTGTAAGAACTTCCAGTAGGTAAAAACTTCCTGCACATATTTTACTTATCGTCCGAGATAGGTACATCCATTTATAACCGCTCTTAATGTCACTTTAAAATTTATGAACTAATACATGCAGGTAAATTAGTATGATAAGTATTTTTAATATATTTCAATTTTTAACTTGAAAATAATATTTTTTAATAAGCATGCATTCAGTATTTGGTCGTGGGTTAGCCATGTTGCAAGGTAAGAAAGACCCCTTAGTTTAAGTTAAGATCCCACACATCGCAGATTTTCAGCCGGGCTTTATTTTCTTGAGGTGTTAAAAGAGAACAAGCGTATAATAAAATTCTGTCTCAAACTTCCACCGGCAAGAAATAATAAGAAAGCAACAACAATGACAAACAATTAAAAAGTAATTTATTGATCCCATCATGTCACAGTTTAATTAAACTGGCAATTATGAAGAAAACATCACTCGATTAAATGGTAAAAAGCTGACTCTTTGAAATAGATACTTCCATTAAAGCCACTCAGTGCCACACTTAATGAGCGCCTGTCAATATTTGACTAAAGTAACGCAATTTACGTTAGTACATTCATAGAATATTCATAGGTTAATTGCTGATTATTATTGCACACTTTAACGCAAAGCAACTAAATGGTGTTACATCACTAATTACGAAAAAAAATATTGACTTTAATGCAGCTAAACACGTGAATATTCCTTATAAATGGGGCAGTTACGGATTAATCGTAAAGACATTAAAAGATACCTGCTGATACTAAAAATGTCCTACTCATTGATAAGCATGTTTGTTTAATGATTTTTAGTTTTTCAAGCTTTCAATGCTACTTGATATTAACTATACTTAACTTTGCAGTAAATTAGAATTCTAGAAATTATATTTTTGGACTTTCAAATTTATTGCGCGAAATTAAATCTTGTAGAGTCATTAGGTATACATATTTGTTTTATAAAAACCATTTTGTGCTACAAAGTTGCAATCGCAAATGTTGGCTGGCAAGTACATCTTAACTTTATAAAACAGGCTATTTCTCAAAATCAGCTGACTATTTTCGTAAAGCAACCTCTGGCATTGCGTGCGGTGTCATGTACTCTTTTTGCCACGGGCCGTTTTATATTTCAGCTCATTACTGACGATGTAACACTGACAGTACGTTTCTGGTTCGATTTCCAGCCTGAGTTGTGGGTGCAAGTGTCAAATTGACACCTCGAGG